AGTGTAGTTGCACAGCGCATTCCCCTGTGGCAACTGGCCATGTCGCTGAGAAGAAATTACCACTTGGAACCTCCAAGCAGCGTTGTTTGGTTGCGCCACAGCCACCACCGAGTATTCCAAAAGAACAGAAATATATTGCGTGGTGTTATCAAATTGGAATTTAAAACCTTTGTGGAATGCGAGACCCGGAGAAAATTAACCATATTCTGCTCCCGGGATATACAAGACAATGTTCAGAAAATGCCATCGTTCTCCCTTCCACTTCGGTAACCAATCCTACGATTCCCGTACCAGCAAAAGGTGATACATTATCTAGCGCTACGCCACGTATGCTTTGCACATTTGTATCCACTGCTGAGAAAGTCGAAAATGCGCTTTATTCCCGGTAACATGTGAATTTGACGCTGTGTCAAGATACCACATATTTTCACTCATATTCTCAGTATCCCTGGGGCTGACTCCGGTACATCTTCTGCAGCTTCCCTTTCTCGATGGACCTTATCAACATAAGACTCCTGCGGTGTTATAGATATACCTCTTAGTACTTCAAGGCACCATATCAGTAGTTACACCTTCATTATCTGCGTTCTCTGCCTTTGCTTGGGAATGCGTATCTTTTTCACGATCTTTATGACCTTTCTGCCAAATTGTGAAGATTCCTCGCAGATTTTGCTTCTGGTTCGACGTAATAGCTTTTTCTTGCTTCTGTGTCTTCTGTGGACAGCTAGATTTTAGGTGTTTGTCACTTCCACAAACTTAACAAGTGCGAAGCTTCCTTGAATCACGAGCAATGTGCTGGTGTTCATCGCTTCGGTTCACACTAAACTTGTGAGTTTCTTTTTTTTTGGTACATTACAGTCATTTATAGAGACTAACGACCCGAAAATGCCCGTCCGGTAGGGGCCTACACATCCCCCGCCGCTGTTCTAACTACCAATAGTGTTAGCAAAAACAACCTAAGGTTGCTTACTGAGGGTTGTCCCCCTGTCTATCGGCTTGTCTAGCCGTATCCCATAGCGTGTTATGCCAGTGCCCCAGGTCGCTACGTAAGTAGGTCGTAACGACCGCCCATTCGGGTGGCAACAGTACCACTTCAGGACCGAGAAACTGTATGCTGCGTCATGAATCCATCGCGATTCTTGCCATGGCGTTCGCCATCTTATTAAAGTGTCGAAGGTGATGAGTCCACGTGGCCACGCCCAGCCGGCCTTCCACCAATCGAAATTGCCTGTACAGATCTTTGAGATGTTGAGCCTGCGGCGGCCTCCTGCACCGTAGCTGTCCAAGAATCAGGTCACTCTCCCCAACGACGTGTAGGCGTTGTAGATGGTACCTTAACGCCTTGCGAAGCCCAAAAAGGAGAGCTTTGTATGCTGCCGCATTGTGTGTTGTAGTGCTTGCTGCGAGGGATACGCTGCACATCCAACGCACCCCGGCCGATTCTGAAGACCCAGCATTCGTAATTATAAAAGCGCCCGCACCACCAGGGCCGGGATTGCCACAAGACCCACCATTAAGGAAAAGCACGGCGGAGCTGTCTTCGGCTAGCGGAGACATTCGTGGCATTTCTTCTGTCACAGTGTCTTCGAATGCCGTGTAAGCCACATCAGCCGCCCCTCGGATATCAGGAGAAGTGGTCGCCATGGTAAGATCACGTAGTGTCAGGTAGCCCTGGCGTAATCGGCCCAAAAGCATTGCCTTCGCCCGGTAGGAAGAGTTGTCCAGGGCGCCATCCCTGCATCTACACCGAAGATCCCAAATGGCTTGCAGGGTGTGCGTGACACCAAGAACCCAATAGTCCTCTAATGTATCGAAACACCAGCTACGTTTTCCTTGCCTCCGATCCGACGGTAAGTGACCATACAAGCGCCTCACGTAGTTCCAGATACCCCTGGGTACCTGAGGTAAACTGAGGCTTATTATTGCCTGCAAGTCCCCAGACGGGTCCGCTAAGCCTAGCCTCCCCCATGGCTCTGCAAAGACCCGCCACAGAGTCTGCGCTGCTGTACAGTACCACCATTGGTGCGAATAGGTCACGTAAGTGTGATGACACTCCGGTAAGGAAAACCCCGGAACCTGTCTTTGCGAGTCTCAGATGGAAGTGGCTCTCAGCTTAATGCGATGCCATAGCTGTTCTGCCCAAACCGTACCACCAGTTATGCTTCAAAGTTTCGCCCACGAGATAGTGTTCAGGGCCTCCCCTAACCGCATACTATCGCCCGACCAGGCCACTTGCCGGTGTTTGACCTCCTGCAGCCCTATCCGCCGGGCCTCAGCTAAGACCGCCTGTTTATAATGCGCTCTGGACCGCGTTAAGTGTCCTCGGGGTATTCTAATCTCCACCGCCCTGTGTAAAGCCGGGTGAGGTCCCACTTTACAGACTTGATAGGTCCCCCCAGTCCACTGCTGCATGACGAGCAGTGCCTCGTCCCACGAAGAGGCAAAAAGGGTGTGAGCTGTGTGTGTACCGTCCGTCGTAATGATAAAAACGGACACACCATCGTCTCGTCTCTCCGAACCGAGCCATACGTCAAAGGGGGCGTCAGAAGGCACTGTCACGATCGGGATTAAAGTCTCGGGCCTCCGAGCATACATAATTTCAGGAAAATTGGCAATCAATGCACCAGAATGGGTCTGATACGGGGACTTGGCTTAATTCGTCGTATTGTAAAGACAAGAGACGACCCAGAAATCGATGCCCAGGACATATATTTGCTGACAGGGCCTGAAGACAGCTCCTGGATCCATTTGTCCGAGTCTTGCAAGGGGTTGCCGCTCTCATCGAGTAGCCAAAAATAACGGAGCTCTAATAACGGCAACCATTGCTCCACCATCGGTTTGTAAGTAGCTCGAAGAAATTGACGGAAGCGTGCAAGGTTGGCACCAAGAAGTGACGAAATGTCGAGTGAGCAGGTGTTGTGTTCCCCCTGAAGACACAATGGAAGAGCCGCATCCACAAGGGTCGCAAACTCTACTACAACGGTCATGTGCTCGGGTGTCGGGCGTGGGAGACCATGCTCGTTCATCATGCGTCTCCCCGCTGTCCACACCGTGTTCCCAACCCGAAAACTCGAGAAACTACGGGCCGTGTATCCGATCGTACAGCTGGTGGGGTGTAAGTTGGCAGAATATGCGAGGCCATCAGGATGTCACCTACGAGCATATCCGTACCCCGCGCAGTAGAGCTCCATTTTTCCACGGTGATTGCAGCCATAGCTGTAACGGGGTGAATCGTTACATAACAATTTATAAGAAATTGTTAATAGAATATAACTATAAGAGTTATATTCTCAGAATATTGTCATAAGGACAATATTCTGTAGCACTTACGAATAGTTCCTAATTGGTTGATATAGGCCATTATATCAACCAACGGAGACGCGCCACGACAGACGCACGCAATGAGTGGTGAGCAGATAGTTGATTTACACATTTGTATTTAGACATAGTTAGATGAAGATAAATAGTGATTTATTGCAGACATTAACTGTAACGGGGCACCCTGAAGCTTGTACTGGTGACAGTACAAGCTACTTATTCTGATAACAGAATAAGGCGGTGCCTCGTAACTTCACGTACACTCGTACGTGCAGAGGAAGACGGTAAGAAGAAGCGAGTACTTGGTTAGAGTAAAAAGTAGAACTGTATTTATAATAGTTAATGTCTGCAATAAATCACTATTTATCTTCATCTAACTATGTCTAAATACAAATGTGTAAATCAGTTATCTGCTCACCACTCATTGCGTGCGTCTGTCGTGGCGTGCTTCGTTGGTTGATATAATGGCCTATATCAACCAATTAGGAACTATTCGTAAGTGCTACAGAATATTGTCCTTATGACAATATTCTGAGAATATAACTCTTATAGTTATATTCTATTAACAATTTCTTATAAATTGTTATGTAACGATTCACCCCGTTACATCACCCCCTTAACCATCAGTCACTTTAGTGACTGATTGACTAAATGGATACTCATCCCAAATCATTTGGGACGGGGTTTGCACTTGTTGGTCCGCGTCCACTTTCCAACATCTCATCGCATGGTAAACAAGCCCATGCGATGCGCGAGCAAGGCCGCCGAGAGCGCGTCTGCACGTCTCTGTGCGGACGCCGAAGCAGAAACTACAGCAACTGATGTCCCATCGGTTGCTGAATCGACTCAGCCTGTATCACCTGGTGATGCAGGCGCTGGTCATGAAGACACTCGTGTCTTCACAGAGTACGAGCTCGGTGTCTCGTACTCTCCTGATACGGATGACGGATCCGTATCGACGGCAATTGAATCCAAGCCGCCTGCCAAGCGTGGCATGGACGATGCTTTGCGTCGCAGCATCTTTGGTTCATCTGATGAGTCAGATGAACCATCGCCGAAGCGAAGGCGCTCGAGGTCGCGAGACTCGGGCGCTAATAGTGGTGTCGTTTCTCCAATGGACACCACTTCACAGCGAGGTGCCAGTACTTCTGTCGGCACGTCGCAGGAAGAGCGGGACCGCAATGTGTTGCGTCTCGCTCCAGAAAAGAAGGCATGGATGCCTCCAAAATCCGTCATGGATCACTTGTCGGCGACGACGAGTGATCGTTATCGAACACGATTGTTCGATTCGTCGAGGATTCATCACCTTGACCCCAGCGCGAAAGACTATCGCGCTGAACATGAGTTCTTCATCGATGCTTTCTTCAGACATCGATGGTACAGTGGGAATCACAAACGTGATGGTCCCTCACTACTTCAGGCGTGGAACGCCTACATCCATAATCTCGAGGATGTAGGTCGTGACGCTTGGAACGACAAACTTATCAAAGCTCGTGATAAGTTTGAAAAGCGAACCCCGACAGGTGCACGCTACAAGCTGCATCGTCTGTCAAGGGAGAAAGGATTACCCTGCCTTTCTTGGGGAGACTCGTGCCCATGTTGTGTGAACAACTCTGCACGAGCACCCTAAGGAGGCTTACCTCCTTACCAGCCCGTGGTGGCGCGTACGTGTCTCTACTGAGATGTACGAAGGGATTGACAACCTGAAATCCCTTTACGACCGTGCCGGGAAGACTTTCTCCGGCGGTCCTTCTGCGGCACAGGATGTGTCGCGTCGTACTGCTCGACCAGACCCAGTACGTCGATCATCAGTTGGGAGCGGGGCTCCCAAGAATCCCAGGACGGGGGATAGCCGCGCCACCGGACGAGGTAACTCGTCCGACGTCCGTTCACGTCGCGGTGGTTCAACAGCTGCTCAACTAGATAGCGCTGGCCACCGCGAGAGTCCTCTAATGGAGGTGGAGGAGGAGGAAAGACGCTCTCCACACGATCATGTGGATCGGTGTGTTCCCGAGAGCTTCTTTGATCGCGTAACGCAAGGGTTACGCGACGATCTCGAGCATGAGCGGAATAGGCGTCTCCAGATGGTGGACACTGCCTCGAAGCATCGAGCTGAGTTTGCCTTTGCTCAGCTTGAGAACGAGAGATCTCTGACATCTCTTCGTGACGAGCTAAGGGTAGCTCGTGGGATTGTTGATCGGTCTCGGGCTGAGATAACTGCTCTTCAGACCCTTGTTGATGCCCACCATCGGGAGCACAAGGCTCTCTGCGAGATGCTTGAGCGCAAGGGCGTTCTTCATCGGAAGAAGCAGCGTACTGATGGTACGGCAAGCCGACCAACGTAAAACGTGGGATGCGTTCGCATCTTACGTGGTAACTCGATCGTGTATGCATTGCCTAGGCGGTGCAATACACGAAATGGGCCAATGTACTTGGGTAGTAGTTTACTGCTACCCAAGTTAGTCACTACATGTTTTGGTAGATTAACCGTAGACAGTAGGACTAAGTCACCTTTATTAAATAAAGAGTGTTTGCCCTTCCATTCTTGTCAGCGTTTTGCTTTTGCTTATCCACCGCTTCGGCGATGGAGTCTTGCACAAAACGGACTACCGTTTCACGAGCCAGTATGAACTCATCTGATGACTCGTTAGCTTCAGTGTGCTGTGAGCGCACTGCAGCGACAACAACCTTTTCTTCAGTGAGGGCTTCCGCACTCTCACTGGGATCATTGTCTTCAGTGAGGGCTTCCGCACTCTCACTGGCATCATCTTCTTCGATATCGATGTTATCGATATCGGCATCAAACGCAATGACTTCTTCGTCAGAGCGTGATGAGCGTGAACCAAATCGGTTTTTGCTCGCGCGATTCCCTCCTCCCCTTAAACCAGAGTTACACTCTAGTAAGGTGGGTACACGCGGATGGCGCAAGCCATTCACGTAAAACGGTGTATGTGTCGTGGACGCATGCACCGAGTTGTTGATGGCAAACTCTACCATCGGCAAAAACTCACTCCAACTCTTAAAGGAGTGTACGTATCCTCGAAGTATCTCTTCAAGGACACGATTGGCACGTTCCGTCTGACCATCTGACTCTGGATGATCAGATGTTGACATCTTCAAGCGCGTTCCGAGTGATTTGAACACGGAACGCCAGAAATCAGCAGTGAATCGTGGATCTCTGTCTGATACGAGTTCACGGGGCAACCCATGAAGTCGGAAGATGGTGTCAATAAAGACACAAGCACAGCCACTTGCCGTGATTGTCTCTGGTACAGCCACAAGGTGTACCATTTTGCTGAATCTGTCAACAAATACGAGAATACCCGTATTCCCGCGTGCGTCTTTGGGTAACCCGAAGACGAAATCCATTGAGATGGATTCCCAGCACTCAGCCGGAACCGGTAGAGGCTGTAAAGGTGCACGCAGTGAAGGACTTGACTTCACTCGTTGGCAGACTTCGCATGCGCGAACATACTTTCGCACAAACTGATACTGGCGGGGCCAGTAAAAGTCTCGACTTACCGTGAGATATGTTTTCTCTCGGCCACGATGTCCTCCTATAGGAGCATCGTGATACTCGAACATGATCCGCAAACGCAGATCAGTATCATCTGGAATGACAACACGTGGTGTGTCACCAGAAACGGCTGTATAGTACAGTAAACCGTTACGAGTAGTGTATCGATCTGATGCAGATCGATACGCAGACGACAATCGTTTCAACGATTCTCGAGATGGTTGGGAGAGATGTGACAACAACTTCACTATCTCACCATCTTGGGCGTATGCCCGCCTCACATCATCATACAACGTTGTAGATGGAACTGAGGACGTCATAACCGCAACAGTGACTGTCTCACTGTTGGGTTTCGCGACTGTTTCAAAGTCGGGACGACGTGAGAGTGCATCAGCGACGACATTAAGTCGTCCTGGTTTGTACTCGACCGTAAAGTTGTATTCTGCAAAGAATGACAACCACCGCGCCATTCGTTGTGAAAGGTGCGGGCTGTTCACTGCCGTGCGTAAGGACGCATGGTCAGTGTAAACAACGAAGGGTCTATCTCCTAATAGATAGACTCTGAACTTCGCGAGTGCATACTTCATGGCAAGGAGTTCCTTGTCATGCACTGGATAGTTCCGCTCAGCTGGTTGCAGCTGACGCGACTGATAGCAGACGACGCGTTCAACGCCTTCAAGGTCGTACTGCATTAATGCACAGCCGATTGCGAAATCGCTGGCATCACAGACCACATGAAATGGCCTGTCCTGATCGGCTATTGCTAGGACTGGGGATTGTATCAAGCTCTGCTTGATACCCTCAAAGGAGCGTTGACATTCAGCGTTCCATAACCACCTCTCGTTCTTTTTCAACAAACGAGAGAGGTGTACAGTCATCTCGGCGTAATTGCGTGAATACTTATGCAAATACGCCGCTAGCCCAAGGAATTTTCGAAGACCTTTGACATCGACTGGCACGGGCCAGTCGGTGATCGCCTTGATCTTTTCGGGATCAGGACGTACACCGTTCTTACCAACGATGCACCCAAGAAGTGGTATTTCGCTTGCTGCAAATATACACTTCTTGAGGTTTGCATACAATTGATGCTTTCGCATGATTGTAAGAACTTGTCGGACGTGGTACTTGTGAACCTCAACGTCCGACTTTCCATCCATAGCTCGACTATGGATGAATACGTCATCGAAATAACTCGGCGCGAATTCTCGTACTGGCCTCAACAGATGTGATACACACCTGTTGAACGTGGCAGGGCATTACTGAGCCCTTGTGGCATTACTAGCCATTCCCAGAGCATGCCGCTAGGCGTGCTAACTGCGGTATAGGGTATATCCCGTTCCCGCATTAGGATTTGATAGAAGCCATCCATCAAATCCATGGACGAAAAGATGGTACTCTTTGACATACCATCAATGATTACGTCCTTCCTCGGTATCGGCGTCTGAGCCGGTACCGTTGCAGCGTTCAATTTGTTAAACGCGTGCACTAGCCGCCACCCTCCTGTTGCTTTTCGCATACATAAGGTCGGAGAGCTATGTGGGGAAGTTGATTCCCTCACATGGCCCGCTGCTAAACGATCGGCAAAGAACTTGTCGATCGCAAGTACTTGTTCACGAGGCAGTGGCCACTGCTTCATGACACAGTACTTCGAGCCTGGTTTAAGCTCGACTTCGTGTCGAATACCTTTATCCTTCGGTAATTCGCACAGAACAGTTTCAGGGAATACATCCTTGAATTCAACCAAATCTTCATAGAGAGGATTTTCCTTGAGCGATTCCCATGATTGGGACTCATATCGCTCAATTCGTGTCTTTTCATCTAGGACACTCTCGTCCATAGATGAACTACTGAGAACTCTCTCGTTCTCAGTAAACACTGTTGCTGACCTTATGTCGGTTACATACTCGTCTTCAGCGACGAGTATGCAGATCTGCTTGACTTTGCCACTACGCAGATCACGCAAGAATCTTTTATGTTCGAGCGTTGGCAACTGAGTGATCTCCGAAGTTAACTTCGGAGGCGCAATCAGATCAAGTGTATAAGCGCCTACACATGATCCGTTATTGACTATGACATTCAATGTCTCTGTCATTTCCTGGGGACTTATTCCCTCAGGCTTCGAAGGACTTATTCCTTCGTCTTCCCGGGGACTTATTCCCGCGGGTTTCGGGGAACTTATTTCCGCCGTATTTGTAATCTTGGGACTTATTCCCTTTACTTCCTCTAGCTGGGGTTGCGCAACCACAGCGAGATCCTCTACGAAAGACTCTCCAGTCGATCTAGGATTATCGTTTCGCTTAACCTGAGCGATCGATTGTTTCTCTTCTAGATGTTCCCCTCTAGGGATACATCTTTGTCCCAGTCCACCCGACTTATTCGAGTGGTGGACCTTCGGCGCAGCCTGTGTTTCCTCACAGCCGCCGGAACTTTGCTCCGAAGTGTAACCGTTTGGTACACTAAGGTTTTGTGCAGTCGTACTAACGACCGTACCACAAGTGAGGCCATCGCACTCACTCGTAGTACATCCACACGATTGTGGACGCTCCAAAACGTTCATCAGATGGCCATCTGATGAACAAGCGGCAGGCATCGTTACTGTCCGATGTTGCCAGTTTACCCGTGGTTCGTACCTTCTGAGCCACGGTATTCCAAGGATGACATCAAATTTGTCATCCAAATCCAATACGATAAAGTCATCGTCGTATTGGGTATCTTCTAGCGTATAGTGAATCTTCACTATACGCTTCATGACGGTTACGGATGCGCCTGTCGCAAGACGTACCGTCATCCTCGTAGGAGGTGTGTCACATTCACTGAATTTAAAGTGACCATCTTCTAGCGATTGGCGTCGCACAAAATTGTTGGACGCCCCACAATCGACTAGAGCTCGAAGGGACAACTTATTCGTCACTTCGAGTTTCAAGGTAATGAGTGAGATCTCATTACCTAGAGCAGCAACGCACAATGTCTGTGTGTTGGGGAGCAACCTTCATCAAGAGGCCTACAAATTCTCTTGACGTTGCTGGATCAGTAGGGTGCTCCGCACCTACTGATCCTGTCCGTTTTTTGACGGTCCATCCCGTTGTTGCGTCTTTGCACCAACTGCGGACCCTCGTCCCTGCCCCTTTCTCATGGGTGGACGGTCACTACGCCCAGTGTCGCGAGACACTGGACGAGGGGCACTACACTCGTAAGCGTAGTGTCCTGTCTTTTGACATCTGTTGCATCTCTGCAACTTCTTGTAGCCTGTAGAGCGAGCCTTCTCGCTCTCTACATAACAGAGTTCCATCGGCTCTGGACCTCCGTTGTCATATCGTCTCGGTTGACGATATGATGTCGAGCTGGCGCGAGCCTGTCTCAGACTGAAGTCTTCCTGCTCCGCAATTGAAATGGCTTGTTCTAGTGAATCTAGTTCAAGCCGGAACAGGTGAGTCTTGACGGGACCATCCGCAAGACCCTGCATGAACACCGAAACCAACGTGTGTTCATCCACCGGATTGGAACTTATACAACTCGTGAGATGTCGTATATGTTGAGCGTAAGCGTGCACATCACGCTTACCCTGCTTGAGCTTCAAGAGTTCGGTTCGAGCTCTGAACTCAGCTCTAGGCGGTTCAAACGTTTGTCTGAGCCGCGACTTGAAGACTTCCAACGACCCAAACGCATATGGGTCGTGCAACTTGAGCCCCAGTGCCCAAGTCTTGGCACGTCCTGCCAGATTTGATTGGGCAAATGCAACTTGCATATCCCCGTCGTCGATGCGAAGCGCCCTTATGGCGTCATCCAATTCGACGAACCATCTCAAGAGGGAGTCTTCTTCGACCCCCC